CAATATATATATATATATATATATATTTTTTTTTTTGTTTTGAACACCGTCTATTATTGTTCAGGTTCCGATAAAATCGAAATAGTTCCTCCTTCTTCTGTTGTAATTGTTTACATGATTCTTTAGAGGATCCGAGAAATGCTCATGAAAGGATTTTGAGATTAGAAAAAGATTCTCTTATAAGAAAAAAATAAACAAGAAAATAACATTATCAAAATGTATTAATTAATAATTAATAATTATATATATATATTATTCTGCAATTTTATATAAATTTAAGAAATAGATGGCTCTAAAGGTGACGTGTCAAAAATAATCCATACGTCACAAAATAACTAGTGTGACTTGGCGCAGAACTTGAAACAAGAACATGTTAATTTGTTACACTTTTTCTTAAAATCCACTTTTATATATGTTTATTGCACATTTCCAAGGACCAAAATATTTTATTTTGTTTATATAATATTTGAGAAGTAGTGAGGTAAAGATTTATAAATATATACACATTCTGCATCAAGTAACTACAAACAAAGTTATGACATATCCCAACCTTTTATGTTGATGAATTCTCAATTTCACATGCGTATATGTAAAATATTTAGGTTTATCTAATATTGAAATATTTATTTGTGATTTCATTAAGAGTTTTAATTAGCAACTCGTATTAAATAAAAGTGAGCTTTTTTCTCCAAAATTAGTGTTACCTGTTAATTAAATTAAAGTATATCAAGATTACTACAATGATGACTTTAAAGAGAAGTTCACTTTTTTAAATAAGGTAAAATTTTATTTCATACGGATTGTATGGATAATTCCATTTTACAATTGTTAGCTGACCCTATAATTAGTTAATTATTTGTTTATCTTTTATATTATTTATTATCTTATCAGTTAGTTAAGATAAGATTAAAATCTTATCTATTTTATTCTCTTAATATAAATAGCTTGTAAATATAATTCCATCAATAACAAAATAGAGTTGTTTTTCTTTTCTTGGAAAGGCTCCTCTCTTAACATGGTACCAGAGCTCCTTTCCTAGGGGTCCTGATTACCCGCTGCCATATCTGATTTTTTTTCATTGAACTTCTTTTGGTCTTGACTATGACAGAAGCTACAGATCCTAAAAGCAACATGGTTGCAGATTTCACAGATCCTTTCTTTGTACATCCAAATGAAAATCCTGGTTCAGTGTTGATATCCTCTTTGTTGAATGGTGAAAATTACCACCAATGGTCAAGCTCAATGAAGATGTGTCTCAAATCGAAGAATAAACTTCAATTCATCGATGGATCATTACCAAAACCAGCGAATGATGATTCAAAATTCTTGGCCTGGGATCGGTGCAATACTTTGGTATTATCTTGGATCCTTCATTCTCTAGATTCTTCAATCGCACAAAGTGTACTATGGATGGACAATGCCGCTGAAGTATGGAACGATCTCCGCGACAGATACTATCAAGGTGATACCTTCCGTATTTGTGAGTTGCAGGAGGAAATCTATTTACACAAACAAGGCAACTCTTCCATAACTACATACTTTACTCATCTCAAAGGATTGTGGCAAGAACTTAATAACTCTAGACCAATCCCTTCATGCACCTGCAAGGTACCTTGTTCTTGTCAATTAATTCCCACAGTGATAGCATATAGAGAAAATGATTATGTCATCAGGTTCTTAAAAGGCCTTAATGATCAATACTCTACAGTAAGATCCCAAATTATGCTCATGGAACCCCTTCCCAAAATCAATAAAGTCTTCTCTTTATTAATTCAACAAGAAAGACAAATGAGTGTACAACCTGATAAAACACAAATCTTGATGAATAATACTGAGAGTTACATTGGAGGATGAGGGGATTTTGGAAGAGGAAGAGGAAGAGGCCGAAATCACAATTTTAGTGGACAAGGATACAAGGGTCGTGGCAAAAACAATAAAATGTGCACATATTGTAATAAATTTGGCCATACTATTGATGTTTGTTACAAGAAACATGGATACCCGCCTAATTACTTTCAAAAGACTAGTGCAGCCAACAATTACACTGTAGAGGATCAAATACAAGAGAATGATGATAATCATTCAATAGTTCGTGACCAAAAAGATGCTTCCAATTCTTCATTCACACCTGAACAACATCAGGCCCTCTTAGCTATGCTCCAAAAGGCGTCAGTAAACCATACTGCAAACCATATTGGGACCTCGCAGTCTACTGACAAATCAGGTACCATATGCAATATTATGCATATCATAGATCCAAATCTTGGGTTCTTGATACTGGGGCTACCGACCATGTATGCAATTCCTTATCCCTTTTTCAATGCTATAAAAGGATAAGGCCTATAATTGTGAAATTGCCTAATGGATCACAAATAACTGCCAGTTTTGCTGGAATTGTGCGCCTTTCTGAATATTTGATTCTCACTGATGTTCTATATATTCCGAGCTTTACTTTCAACTTGTTATCTATTTCAAGGTTGACCAACACCACTGACTGCAAACTCATTTTTGATGGAAAACGATGTCTTATACAGGACACCAATACCTCGAGGACGACTGGTGTAGCTAGCCTAAAGAATGGACTTTACTGCATCTCATACCAACCACAATTAGAGCCCAACGATCATGTTTTAAATAATTTTCATTCTTACAAATGTAACACATGGCACCTGAGATTTGGCCATCCCTCTCATGAGAGGTTAGTTCAGATGAATAAAATGTATTCTAACATTGATTGCAATAAGATTATTGATCCATGTGAAGTTTGTCACTTTGCTAAACAGAAGAGATTGCCATTCCCAGATAGTTACTCTAAATCTGCACATCCTTTTGATTTACTACATTTAGACATATGGGGTCCTATTTCTATAGTTTCTTCATTTGGACACAAGTATTTTCTTACTGTTATTGATGATGCAACCAGATATACGTGGATATACTTGATGAAACTCAAATTAGAAACACCAAATCACATAAAATCCTTCATTCACCTTGTGGAAACTCAGTTCGGGGTTAAGGTCAAAACTCTTAGATCCGATAATGGGAAAGAATTCATGCTGAATGATTTTTATAATCACAAAGGCATCATCCACCAAACTTCTTGTGTTCAAACTCCACAACAAAACGGTATAGTAGAAAGGAAACATCAACATATATTGTCTATGGCTCTAGCTCTTATGTTTCAATCTAATATGTCGAAGTTATTTTGGAACCATGCAATGAACCATGCCACTTTCCTTATTAATAGGCTGCCAACCCGCTATTTGGATCACAAATCACCTTATCAAGATTTATTTCAATGCCTCCTTGATATTAATTCTTTAAAAGTATTTGGTTGTCTTAGCTTTGCAACAACACCAAATGCTCATAGAGGCAAACTTGACCCTCGAGCCAAGAAATGTGTGCACTTGGGTTATAAACCAGGCACAAAAGGATATTTACTATTTGACATTGAAACTAAACAATTTTTTGTGTCCAGGGATGTTTATTTTTATGAAAAGATTTTTCCATTCACTGACATTCAACCCCCTGATCCATCCAATCCTTTACCACTACCTTCTATCACCTTCTTTGATAACCATGATCCATGGTTTCAATCCACAAAAACCGCTATCAGTCCAACCAACCAAACAACCAGTCCAACAGTTTCGAAAAACTCGTCTTCATCCAACTCACCATGTAGAAAATCTACCAGAACATGAAAAACCCCAACCTACTTACAAGACTATCATCACTCTCTTCTTTCCTCAACTGCACCAAAAACCAAGTATCCTATTGACAACTACCTCTCTTATGATGCACTTTCCCTGAAACATAAATGTCTTACCTTATCTATCTTTACAAACATTGAACCACACACATATGAGGAAGCAATTAAGCATGATTGTTGGAAACAAGCAATTGGTAATGAGTTAACTACTCTTATGAACAACAAAACTTGGACAATTACTCCTCTTCCTCCTGGAAAAAGAGCTATTGGTTGCAAGTGGATTTTTAAAATCAAATACAATACAGATGGCTCTATTGCAAGGCACAAAGCTCGATTGGTTGCCAAGGGTTTTACTCAAACTGCTAGACTGGATTACTTGGAGACCTTCAGTCCTGTCATAAAAATGACAACTATTCAACTTATCTTATCATTAACTGCTTCCCTCAATTAGCATCTTTATCAATTAGATGTCAACACGGCATTTTTACATGGTGATTTGTGTGAAGAAGTGTACATGAAAACTCCTCCTGGCCTCGAATCTCAAGCTCCTAACATGGTTTGCAAACTTGAAAAATCTTTATATGGCTTAAAACAAGCCAGCCGCCAATGGAATGCCAAACTTTCCCAAACTTTAATTGCTTTTGGATATGAACAATCCAAAGCTGATTACTCACTCTTCACGAAGAAAACTCCCTCTGGTTTTACAGTTATATTAGTTTATGTAGATGATCTCGTCCTTGCTGGAAGTGACATTTCTGAAATACAACAAATTAAAGCTCTTCTCCATAATAAATTCAGCATTAAAGATTTAGGCGAACTCAAGTATTTTCTAGGATTTGAGATAGCAAGATCTCAATCAGGAATCAATATGTGCCAGAGAAAATATGCTTTGGACTTGTTACAAGACTCTGGTCAACTAGCTTCTAAGCCTTGCAATACTCCTATGGATCCTAGTGTAACCATTAGTAAGGAATCAGGTACACAATTAGCTGACCCTTCATCTTATAGAAGATTAATTGGTTGGCTACTCTACCTCACGAATACTAGACCTGACATATGTTATGCAGTAACTAGACTTAGCCAATACATGGATACTCCTACAACTGTTCACCAACAAGCTGCCTATCGCATCCTTAGGTACATCAAAACAGCCCCTGGTCTTGGCCTTTTCTTCCCTAAAGAGTCTGACCTCAACTTAAAAGGATTCACTGATTCAGATTGGGGGGCATGCCATGACACACATAGGTCCACTTCTGGTTTTTGTTTCTTCCTTGGGAGCTCTCTTGTATCTTGGAAAAGTAAGAAACAAACAGTAGTGTCCCGATATCCGCAGAAGCAGAGTATCGAGCTCTTGCTCAAGGCACTTGTGAAGCACAATGGCTATTGTATCTTCTTCATGATCTTCGCATCGATCATCCTAAAGCTGTGGTTATATATTGTGACAATCAATCAGCAATTCACATTGCTAATAATCCTGCTTTTCATGAGCGTACAAAGCATATAGAAATGGATTGTCACCTAGTCCTAGACAAAGTCCAATCTGGAACCTTGCATCTCCTTCCTATATCCACACAGGACCAAATTGCAGATATTCTCACCAAACCCCTTCATCTTGGCCCTTTCCAGACACTACATCACAAGCATGGAATGCTCAACGTACATTCCAGCTTGAGGGGGGTGTTAGCTGACCCTATAATTAGTTAATTATTTGTTTATCTTTTATATTATTTATTATCTTATCAGTTAGTTAAGATAAGATGTATTGGGAAAAACCCAAGTCCCACATCGACTAGAGATTAGGCAATTGAATAGTATATAAGTGGAAAGCAACCCTCACCTTACAAGCCGGTTTTGTAGGGTTGAGTTAGGCTTAATCCACTATTCTAACATGGTATCAGAGCCATTTAGATCCACTTTAAATGGGCCACCCACCATTGATGCATGCCTCATAGGCATGAGGGGGTGTATTGGGAAAAAACCCAAGTCCCGCCTATCCTATATCATTAAAAAGGGCCACCCACCATTTATCCACGTACCAAGCCCAATAGTGCTGGACGTGAGGGGGTGTATTGGGAAAAACCCAAGTCCCACATCGACTAGAGATTAGGCAATTGAATAGTATATAAGTGGAAAGCAACATTGTTACGAAAAGGTTAACCCGTTCGTACAAGGCCCAAGAAATTCCTATATCAAACGCCCCTTCTTCAGAAGCTGACACCTGGCAGCTTGGTGAAGTCGGAACTCCCCCAATATCAGGAGTAACTTCCCTCTCCGGGTTCGAACTCGAGACACCGGGTTCGTAAACAAGACTCTGATACCATTGTTACGAAAAGGTTAACCCGTTCGTACAAGGCCCAAGAAATTCCTATATCTACGAAAAGGTTAACCCATTTGTACAAGGCCCAGGAAATTCCTATATCAAACGCCCCTTCTTCAGAAGCTGACACCTGGCAGCTTGGTGAAGTCGGAACTCCCCCAATATCAGGAGTAACTTCCCTCTCCGGGTTCGAACTCGAGACACCGGGTTCGTAAACAAGGCTCTGATACCATTGTTACGAAAAGGTTAACCCATTCGTACAAGGCCCAGGAAATTCCTATATCATTAGGCAATTGAATAGTATATAAGTGGAAAGCAACCCTCACCTTACAAGCCGGTTTTGTAGGGTTGAGTTAGGCTTAATCCACTATTCTAACAAGATCAAAATCTTATCTATTTTATTCTCTTAATATAAATAGCTTGTAAATATAATTCCATCAATAAGAAAACAGAGTTCTTTTTCTTTTCTTGGAAAGGCTCATCTCTTAACAACAATCTCATGGTTTTGACAAAAGTATTGTTAAAAGTTAAATTACATAGAAACATATGCCACTTATATGTTAAACTTGAGGTCTATATCATAAACTAATTTTAGACATAATTATTTTATAATATAATCAAATTTAGCTATTTTTCCTGCAACAGGAACATTTGAGATATTTTCATGAATACTTTTTTTTTTTTTTTAGAGTTCATGAATACGTATCTTTAATAATATATTATATTTTTTACTTATCAATAATATTTTCAAAATTAAATTTAATATTATTTCAAATTGAACTTTCAATAACAATTCTCTTAAAATCATTTTTCATATATAAATCAGAATAATTCTCTTGAATAATATAAATTTGGAAGATTATTTTTAATTAAAAAAAAAAATATTTGAAGTATTTAGAGAAGAGGAAGAAAAAAAGCACATTTTCAATTTCACATTCATCATATATTATTAATATTATTGAATGTAACAACTTTGTGTTCAAGGTCCTTAGAAACATCAAAACAAGGACGTTTTCTATAGTGAAGAACTGCTGGTTCATGCGTGAAGCATAAAAATATATTTTTTTTATTTGTTTCTTTTAATTTTTTTAAAAAATAAAAAAATGATAGTCACTTTTACATATTTATCCTTTCTCCACATCTTTATATTCATTATTATTTTCAAATTATTTTCTCTTTTAGTCTTCCTTTACAGTAATCACCACCCAGACACCCATCCTCCTTGGCATGTATAATCTCTGCATGTCACTATCTTTATCAAAATCTTAATATCCATTGTACCACCTGTGTCCGCGTTCCCGAAGGCACCCCTCTATTTCAAGAGGATTTGCAGCATGTCAAGCACTGGTAAGGTCCTTCGCTTTGCATCGAATTAAACCACATGCTCCACCGCTTGTGCGGGCCCCCGTCAATTCCTTTGAGTTTCATTCTTGCGAACGTACTCCCCAGGCGGGATACTTAACGAATTAGCTACAGCATTGCACGGGTCGATACGCGCAGCGCCTAGTATCCATCGTTTACGGCTAGGACTACTGGGGTATCTAATCCCATTCGCTCTCCTAACATTCGTCTCTCAGTGTCAGTGTCGGCCCAGCAGAGTTCTTTCGCCAGTGTTCTTTCCGATCTCTACGCATTTCACCACTCCACTGGAAATTCCCTCTACCCCTACCGTACTCCAGCAGGCGGCGTTTTATCCCTTTCTCGAACCGTTGACTCATAGTACTACAATTATCCAGTCAAATCGGCATTTGCTACTCCATGGTATTTGTGTCAATGAAAGGGTTTCAAATCTTTTTAACTTTTACTATTTTTATTTTGAATATGAAACCTTATGTTTCTGAAACGTTTTTGTGATTTGGTTCCTGAAGGGATTCCTGTACCATCTCAGCTACATTTTAATTCACCTACTCCACCAAACTCTCAAGGGGGCACCTCCAATGCACAAGTTCATGATGGTCTGTGCGCATCTATCTATGTCTCTTGCGTTTCATATAGATCCTAGAAATACAAAACTTTACTTTTGTCTTCCTTCACTGTTTCAGAGAATAATTTCCCCCCTTTTGAGCTTGATAAAAGTCCACCAATACAGCAGCCGCAGCGGAGAGCAAGAAAAAGAAAACAATTCTCCGATGAATCCATAGTGTTAACAAATGGGTAATAATTTAAGATTTGTTTTTGTTGAATTGCTTCCTCATGCAACTTATATAGTTCATATATACCTGTTGTTTGTGGTGGAATTAGTTAGGATTCTTTTTATTCGAACTAGCACGAGAAACGTTTCAACTTAGGTATTTGGCATTTTGGAACTCTATAAAGAACAAGAAGTGGAGTATAAAGATTTAATAATTACTTGTTTCCAAATATTCATCAATGATTAACAAGCAATAATATTCGTTCATATAAATCCTCAAATAAACAGAATGAACAATAAATATATTTGCAATACAAATCATGGTTCACTTCGCATAATTGACAAGAATTACAATATTAAAGTTAAACAGTCTATAACTATGTGATTAAAAGAAGGAAGCTACACTAATCCTAATCCTAAAAAGAGAAAAGAAATGTGGCCGAGAAATGTTCATACCCAGTAATTCCGTGCACGAAAGCCATATGTGCAGGCAGTGAGTGCTTGAGAGTTTCAAGTATGATGTTTTCCGACCCCTGTAAATCACTATGCTTCTCTTATTTATAGAGTCAGTCGAGGGCGGTTAATTTTATGTACGTGCGTTATTGGCAAATAACCGCTATCCACCATGTTTATCACGTGGCTTTAAGATGTAACTTCTAGTAACCGTTCACCCCACGTTTTACTTTTTCGATTCGATCTTTAATTACCACCATGGTATGTCTTAACTGTCCCAAACCTCCATTAACTTCCTTTCATATTTTCGAGTCAATCTCGAGTATGCATGTTCATAATTTATTATGTTCCTTCTCATGTAAGTGCTTAATCAATCGATTCTTTCGAGTGACACACTATTTTTCGATTGACCCTAACAAATGCCCCCTAGGAATTCAATCTTGATGAACGCACTGTGGTGAAAGATGAATTCCTATCGAGACTTTTTCTTACTTCTTTCTCGAATTTTACTTGTTCGTTTCCTTCGATGAAAACTTTACTTGTTCGTTTCCTTTGATGAAAACCTACTTCTGACCACCTATTTAATGCAATTTACTGTTTGATTTGACATTGATTGCTCTGACGGCGCATGCTTACGTTTTCCCACGAGCCTGTCCGAAAAAACGTTTTGGCGGCTGATTTGAATTGATTAATATTTGAATTAATATGGACCCGTTTTACCTAAGGCCTATTTACCTTGTTTAAAACTCTTTTTTACCCTAGGGTAAAATCACCTTTACCACTTCCTTTGCGCACAAGTTTCCCATTGCCTTCTTTCTACATTCTCTGGTTCATTGCTCACTGTTCTTGTCACTCTTTTCTTGCAATCTCCCAATCCTTTTTTGCTGCTTATTATCGCCATGGCCTCTTCTGCTGCGTCCATATCTGCCGTCGTAGCTTCAGTGGTTTCCCCCACCATGGCCTCTGCGTCGTCTCCTACAATGGCCTCTGTGTCGTCTCCTACGGCTTCTGTGTCATCAACGCAAACAGTCCCCTTGCTCATGACCAATGCCGCCGTCTGTGTTGTGAAGGATGGTGACGAGAAGTTCGTCCCAATTCAGAGCATGGAGGAGGCTAGCCTCAAGATTTTCAACTCACAGGTACTTCTTCCCTTCTCTCTTGAAGATGGTGCCACCCATGCTTTTCTGGGTCCTTTTATAGGTCAAAATAAGAAAAGGTTTGGTAACACATTGCTTCTTGAGGACTCTTCTACCATACCTTTCATCTATTCCCCTTCAATAGATTTGAATTTGTTTAGTGATACTGCAAAAATCTTTAGAGCATTCCGACCTACGAAAGATAGGCACTTGCAGTGGCTAGAGCGTGTAGAGAAAACAATGCATTCTGCTTGGGTAGGGGCTGGTATTTATGAGTTTGTTCAACTTTCCAAGTTTTATTTGCATGCTTTTGACCCTCAAATTCTTCTCTCCGCCATCTTCTTTTGGAATAGAGAAACTCGAGCTTCGAGTTTCCATGTGGTTTCTTGTCTCCCACTTTATTAGATATTACCGCCATTACTGGTTTGACACCTGTGGGGGATAGGTTCTATCCAGATGCTTTCGAG